ACACCAGGTTACTGATTGATATGATGCATTCCTTGCTATTCCCCAGCCACAAAGGCAATGAAAAGAAACTTGCTCAAGTTGGGGAAGGAGAGTGTCTTCCTGCCAGCATCACAAGTAATGTATGAAGGCAACAATCCCATTTGTAACTCCACCCTCTTTGAGCTCTACTAAATTCAGACCTCGCCCTGGTCTCCAATTCCTCAAGTCCTAAAGTAAATAAGCCCAAGAAAGAATTTTAGGACCATTTCCCCACTACATGCTGAAAACCAGCAGGCGTCCCTCTTAATTAATATTTTCCTGTCTCAGACTTTATCTAAGCCATCTTCTTCTACTGGGGTGAGGCAGGTTCTTAATCCCCCCACCCCAGGCTCCCTAGAAAGATTTCATCACTGGAGAGAGCTCTGGACCCTGGATAACTGGGTCATAAGGAACTATCCCCCACACCCCGACAAGCAAAAAGCATTAGCCATCATTGACAGGAGACAAACTGCCCCATGATATACTGATTAGCAAACTAGCTAAAAGTTGGATAGAACCAGATGGAACAACTATCAGGTGGCTATAGAATCAGACTCAAAGAGTGCTCATCAATGACACCTTCTCAGACTGGGGAGCAGTAACAAATGGGGTATTGCAGAGTTCAGTCCAGGGCCCAATGCTCTTCAACACTTTTATTAATTATTTGGATGAGGAAGTGCAGGGAATGATTATTATATTTGCAGATGACATAAAACTGGATGGGATAGGTAATACCCTGGAAGGCAGAAAGAAAATTCAAGGTGATCTTGATAGGTTGGAACACTGAGCTGAAATTAACAGAATGACATTCAGTAGGAACAAATGCCAAGTTTGGCACCTAAGAAAAAGAAACAAAATGCATTGTTACAAGATGGGGAATACTTGGCTCAACAATGGTGCAAGTGAGAAGAATCTTGGAATTGCTGTAGATCACACGCTGAATAGGAGTCCACAATGTGATGCAGCTACAAAAAGAGCAAATATTATTTTAGGCTGTAATAATAGAAGTATCACTTCCAAATACCATGAAGTATAGTTTCCCTTTACTCAGCACTGGTTAGGCATCATCTGGAGTACTGTGTCCAGTTCTGGGCGCCACAGTTGAAGAAAGATGCAGACAAGCTGGAAAAGGTTCAGAGGAGGGCAACAAGGATGATCCAGGGACTAGAAACAAGCCCTCTGAGGACTGATTGAAAGAACTGGGCATGTTTAGTCTTGAGAAGAAAGGACTGAGGGGATACAGGATAGCACTCTACGAGCACTTGAAAGGCTGTCACAAAGAGGAAAGACAGGATCTCTTCTCAATCATCCAAGAGTGCAGGAGAAGGGATAATGGGCTCAAGTTGCAGGAAGCCAGATTCTGGCTAGATATCAGGAAACACTTCCTGACTGTTGGAGAAGTACAACAATGGAACCAATGACCTAGGGAGCTGGTGGGCTCTCCCACACTGGAGGCATTCAAGATGCAACTGGACAGCCACCACAGAGGGATGGTTTAACATGGAGTCCTGCACTGAGCAGAGGGTTGGACTCTCTGGCCCTCTTGCCCATCCCAGCTCTACTATTTTATGATTCTAAGATTATGATGGCTTTTCACTACACCTTGCACATTCTCCTTCTGGAAGCAACATTCCAAACAAGAATGAGGCTTTTAGGTCAATGATATAATGCATTTCATAGATGCATAAACATCCCGCTTTCATTATGAAATCATAGATATCCCTATTCACAACTGGAAACAAGTGTAAGAGAAAGGATATGGAAGTTTGATAGAGGAGGTGTCACTATCAAAACTAGGTCAGAAACATAGGAATTCATTTACAGGTGTAACATACTTTCCATCACTTATTTGGCCCTGACCAAAATCCATGTCTAACCATGATCATGTACTTCTATAGGAAACCTATTAGCCAAATGAATGGAATACAGTATTTAAAACTCCAGCAAATAATGTGAGAAGAGTTCATCAGTGTACAGTACTGCAGAATTCTAGATGTTTAGATCTCCCCACGGACATGTCCATTCATAACTGAGAGTTGCACATCTTCACTCAAAAGGTAGATGGAGACTCAGGGTGGAGTCTGTCAGAATAACAGAGCCTGTCACTATAAACTGGTTTCAAGCCCTAGCCTGTAAAACATGCATAATTTGCTTTTTGAATTTTTTAAATGCAACCATAAAAACTGGTAAAGATGTGGGAAACCCAAACTGTTGCTCCTTCAACATCCACGAACAAGGGTATGCAAAGGGATAGATAGCCTTACTCTGGCATTTCAGGAAAGCCTTTCTTCCACTCCGGTGCTCTAGAGGGCCCAATTTCTGCGTAGATGCAGCAGTATGCCTCGTTTTTGCTAAACCTGCTGATCTGACAGCCGGTGTGGTGTAGTGGTTAAGAGCACAGGCCTGGAACTCAGGCAATCTGCTCAGCCATGGAGTCAACTGGGTGACTTTGGCCAGTCACAGACTCTCAGCCCAACCTACCTCACAGGGTTGTTGTTGTGGGGATAAGATTAAGAGCAGCAGGAGGAGGAAGATGTAAGACACTTTGAGTTCATTGTAAGGAAAAAAAGCAGGATATAAGTCTAACACGTAAGTACATAATAAGTGTGAATCCCATTATAAAATATTACTAGCAAATGTAAGTTGTGGCAGGCTGTGCTAACAGTTAGCTCTAGAGTAGGCAAAGTGAGTTACTAGACTGTTACAACACACAATGTTAAGTTCCTGTAGAAAGCAGCTGTATTCTTTATATGCACAGCAGACAGCATATTATCAGTATTGTATAAATCATGAAAATGCTGGAAACAAATATTTTGACTTATTCCTGGCTGAAAAGTTGTAAAGGATGTCTGTTTATTTCTATGCATTTACATTACTATGACCTTCTTCCAGTTTCTTGACATATTTACCTTGACATTTTTTAAAGAGAGAAATAAAAAGGAAGAGCTGGTCCTATGGAACTGAGTAGTAAACAGAAGAATGTCAAAAACCAGAGGCCAAGTGAAATGTCTCATGAGCCCAGCAGTTTTCATTCACTTTTTCTCCCCAAAACAACAGCCCAAGACCAGCTGTATACAAGTCTGAACATGTTCAAATATACACTGAATGAGAGAGGCTTCTGTGTTACAAACTCCTAGACAAAAGGCACTCTGTCTCAGCAATAATGTACAGCCAACACATGCAGGACCGTCCATGTAAAAATGTTGTAACATGTTAAGCAATCTCAAAACATCATCCAGTCTCTTCACTATGGTTAGTAGCTTGGGGCAGCAAGCCAAAGTACATTTACTTCAACTTAAAAATGACTAATTTCAATGAGGCATATATCTTTGGACTTGAATGCAGAGCTTTATTCCAAGACTGATACATCACTTGTCCCCAGGTCCACAGGATGCCAAGAAATGTGGCATAATTCAGACATGGGAACTGGGTGTGCTTTATAAGCGCAGAGTCTGGAGCTACAATTCAGATTCTCAGAAGATGCCCTATAGCGATGGGCAAATACAGGGTAATTTATTCAACCCTCCCCCAGCTGAATAAAGCCTTACAGGTCCTTATGCTAAAGTATGTGGATGGGTAATGCACAATCTCCTTACCTGTATGACCTCCTTACCTGTATGAACCACCTCTTCCCCATCTTTCATGCACAGGTCCAGAGGCAGTCATTTCTCTGCCCTATAAATCCAACAATCCAACTAGGGGTGAGGACATAGCTCCATCGCAGAGCACATGCCTTACAGGAAGAATTCAATCCCTGCCATCTCCAGGGAAGGCTGGAAAAGCTCCTGTGTGAAGCCCTTAAGAGTGCTGATCATACTGGGCTAGATGGACCAAGGTCTGACTCAACTTAAGGCAGCTTCCTAGGTTCCTAAGAAAGCTCTAGCATGAGTTTGTTTCCCCATATCCTTCCTGCCAGAAAGAACACTCTGCGCCAGCTGCCAATTTTCTGGGAGCGCCAAGCTAAAGGGAAGCACACAGTGGTCTCTGTCTACTGCCAAGAGACCAAGGGACACTGGGGGCCTTCCTCCACACCTCCAAAAAATAAGGTCACAGCAAGGGAAGATGAACCGGTCCAATCTTTTGGCTAACAAAGAAGCAGATGCTCCAGTGGTCACTTTCCATTTCCTTTCCACTTATTTATTTATTTAGAATTTTTCTATGCCGTCCCATCGCTTGGAGCCTCGGGACGGCTCACATAAATAAATAAACATAATACAAATACAATTAAAACCCATAAACACCCTGGCTGCACAATTAAAACCTACTGATGTTAAGCGTTGTTAAAATATTGTTTAAATAAAAAGGTCTTTTTAGTTTTGTGTTCAGTCTATTAGATAGTGAACCTGTAGGGAGAGACTGTCCTATATTTTAATAAATATGCTGCATATCTAAGATATTATGACCAACAACAGTGATTGTGGTTATTCTTCTCTTTGGGTTAGGCAAGGAATTGTGTTAAATGTGAAAGTACGACCACTGGCTCCTCTGTTGTCTGATGAGAAATTATGCACTAGAAAGCACACGATCAGCATTAAATTTTCACTAAGAAGCATCAGATAATTAGACTATAAAGAGATGTCTCCCAGGTGTTCCCCATCTCCACCTCTGATACCGAACTGGTATTTTCTGTATGATATTATTCCCTCTTCTGGAGCCCAAAATAGGGCAAAGCCAGGCAGGAGCGGGAGGTGTGAGGTGCCCGGTTGTGTCCCTGCCGCACATACACAAAGTGAACACTTGTGATTTTAAACTACTTATTCGCTTTGGGCACAGGAGGTTAGGCTATCGAGGCTCAATCCTGTGCATGCATTGTATAACTTTCTTCACACTAAACACGCATCGGGTTGCACCCTACGGTTGTCGTCCCACTCTCAGTTACCTGGAGGTAAGCTTCATTAAACACACGGGACTAACTTCTGAGTAAATGTGCATCGCATCGCACGCAATATCAATAATTATGAAAGAGACTTGGCAGGCCCTACCACCATACTGTATGCTTTTTGGCGGCGGATGGCTTCACCGGTAACGCCCCTTCGCCAAGCATTGCGCAGTCGTCGGGCGAGGCCAGCTTCACTCACGTTCCTGGACTGCAAATAACGTGCAGTTTGTGTGTGCGCTGCACCAGGGAAAGCAGAGAATCGGATGCACCCCTCGGAAACCAAGGCTAGGCTGTGGCACTTTTGAGCATCTAGGTGAAAGGTCTGAGCAGAGCACACAAGCACGGCGTGCGCCTCCCCCTCCCGCCAGCGCAGGTCCAAGCTGTGAGCACGAAGCGTTGGCAAGAGGCGCGACAACACAGCCCGCTCGGCAACGAGCCGCACCGGGCGCAGCTGAGGCGCAGAGAGCTCCCACACTGCACCGCGCTGTCTCTTTGCCCAGCCAGCCGCACGCGCGCCGCCCCCAGCAGCCCCGAGCCAAGGCTTGGAAACGGCGCGGCGGTGTCTGCGAGGCGCCGGTGCCCCGCCGGTGTGGAGAGGTTTATACAAGTTGAAGGCGAGGTGACGCTCCCGCCCGGCTTCTCAGCCGGCTACGCTCCTTGCTCTTGCTGCACCTACTTGCAAAGGCAAGCGGTTGATTGAATTGCACACACGCACGAACAGCCTGCAAAAATGAATGCATAAATTGAGCACAAGGGGTTAAGCGGCTGGCTGCGGTTGGGGACAGATTTAGGCCAACGCATCGGAAGGGCGCAGGTGGAGAATCTGACGCCTGGGTGAGATGTATTTATTTAAAATTCCACACAAGAATCAGAATTGCGGCTGGCGCCCTGCAGATGCGTTGGGACTACAACTCCTACCCACACCAGCCAAGCCGTTGGCTGGGAATGATGGGGATTGCAGTACAAGGCACATGAGGGCGCCAGGTTGGAGGCAAGGATGCCACGGAGAATCTTTCAGACCCACCCAGTAGCAATCCTGATGGAGTTCAGCCTCGGTTAATAAATCCTATCACCCTCTCTCCCCTCCCGATCCACTGACAAGAAGGAACAATAGCGAAACTAGCAGCCGCCGCCGCCGCCGCCTCCTCGGCCTAGCACAGACAGCAGCAGCCCGCAGGAAGGTGAATGACAGCTGGGAATTCTGCTGCGCTCCTTGAAGCCGCGCAGGCGCACTACGCGTCCCCCTTCCCAGCCCTTGTGGGGCGGGAGGAGGGGGGAATGAGAGGGTCACGTGACAGTCTAGTCCGCGGCCCAGTCAAGTGGAGTTAATTCCATCTGTGTTCGCAGGCCGAGGCATTCCGGGGCCGCCTCTCCCGGGGTTTGGCTCTGCAAAGCTGCCAAAGCCAGAGCTCGCTGCGAAAGCTGCAACCAGGGTAGGGTTTCCAGCGGAAGACTTTCTTCCCATCCCCCTTTTTTCTTTTTTCTTGCCGTTTTCTCATTGTTAAAACAAAACATGGAAAACTCCCCTTTCCCTTTGCCCTGACAAGAAATCCACTTTGGCATTCTAGACGTGCGGTGGGGAGGGGACATCTGAGGTTAGTCCTCACCGCATTATTAGGGAGAGAGGGAAAAAAATGAAGGAATCCATCATGAAAGAAAACCAGTCCAGAGTTTTTATTTTCGAGCAAACCCATTCTCCCAAAATGGAGGGCAGAAGCAAGTTGGCTGGGAGAGCTACGAGGTATAGGAAGCAAACACACGCGGGAGGGGAGGGTGCGTGAGAGTGGAAATCGTTCTGACGCGCGCCAGCTTCCTCCCCGGAGATCGCCGTGGACAGGCGGATCGGCGGCAAGGATGCAGCAGTGGCCATTTGACACAGGCGGTCAGTGACACACTCGTCATCATCCCCACCAAGAACTGGAAAGACCCGAATTGTGCAAGAATGTGTAGCCAGCCGCCGCTCCCCGCGCCGCCCCGGCCGGAAAACAGTTTATCCTCTCGGATCATATGGCCCCGAGCAACCTACTGGCTCTTTTCCAATCGGCCCCGCCGCTGTTCGGCTGTATTTTTATGCATATTCTTCCCCCTTGGCCGAGAGGGGGAGGAATCGCGCTAAAGTATTCAGGCACTTCCGATACAGTCGTGCATGTTTGCTTCTGCTAAAAGGGGCCAAACACAGGAGGACGTTGTGGTTCGAGAGGGCGAGTTTCAACTTGTTCCGTAATGCTCCCGCGTCTTACACGTGGGAGCGAGGAAGGCAACCCATCACATCTGATAAGGTTAGCCTTGAACCAGGCTCGGTCTCTACAAGCACTAGGGATCCTTTTCTTCTTTTTTTCTTTTGAGGCGCACACCATGGAAATGCTTTTGGGCTGGAACTGTTTTCATCTAAGACTACAAACAGATGTGTCTCTCCCCACGTCTAATCTTAGCAGTCGAATTGTAGAAAAGCATCTCACCGAGACTGGTAGTTTTCAGATAGCTTACATGCGCGCGCCTGTGCGCGAGAACAATGGCAGTGGTGCAACTCAAGCCTCGACTTAGGGGCCAAAGTTCAAATGACCACCCAGCGAGCAGCTGGTGATGGCAAAAGGGCAGCAGAAACAAAGCTCCTGTAGCCTTACACTTCACGTGATTTTAAAATGTAAAGTTCTGCATGCTCGATTCATAAAATACATGATTCAGTTTTGTTTTTTGTTTTTCCGACACATAAAAAGGTCTAGAAGCAAAGCACAGAATGGAAGTTGCAGGGTGGCCAAAGAAAACTGTTTTTGGATGCTTCACAGCTAAAATAAACGGTCTTAAGGTGCCCCCCCCCCTCAGTCCAAGGTCTAAAGTTGGCTGTGCCACTGACCTTCACCATCGCTTGACTGCACTCTTCTTCCACCCTGTGCAAATCCAGCATAGGTTTTATTTGATAGATCCCAAGGGGTGATCGCTGGCCTTCCACACTTGCAACGTAACTGATATTAGGCGATATGTAGCTTTGACAGAAGCAGTATGCTATAAATGGAGAATAATGGCTCGGTGCCAAGGGGGAAGCTTTTCAGCTTTCAAGACTAACTTTGTCAGAGTCAGCATAACAGTGACACTCCAGTCTTCTAATGCAAATCAACAGGATGTGTCACTTTGGCACGAGGTGGCTCCCCAATATACAATACAGACAGCCCTGTTATGAGTGGAAGGAAAGAGCATAGCAGAGGAGAGAAAAACAGGAGAGGACTGCTAAGCACTCACTGCACATGCAATATACTGATAGATCTTGGGAAATCATGTCTTTCTTCCACTCGCTCTTTCTTTGCTTTAAAGGAGGGGCCATTTACAGAAGTCTGTGACAGCATCCCCCAACCTGGTGCTCTCCAGACTTTTTAGTTCATGTCCCCACTCCCAGCCAGTAGGGCTGGGGTTAATATGAACTCCAGTCCAAAACATCTGGAGTGCACTGGATGGAGAAGGCTGCTGTCTATATGGTAACAGACTCCTGTCCAAAGAGACTGAAATTGCAAAATGTGCACAACTATTTAGGTTTATAGCAACTGAGCAGAATTTGAGCCATATTTTCAGGCATGACATGGCTTTGTCTCACATTTTGCTTTAGCTAGAAGAATCACTAAGACCACACCTCCTGATCTACAAAACACATACACTAGCCCATCCCTCTTTACTGCAGAGCTGTGTGTGTGGTTCTTGACTTCTCAGCTAAAGAATTTCTGCTACATAGTCTTAATGTCTCTGGCATGCCTGTTCTGCCTTTTTTTCTGGTGGTGGTGGTGGGGGGGGGGGGGGGGGGGGACGACAAGCTGCTTTAAGATGAAGAATAAACTACTTCTGAAAAGCTTCATTTTTAAATGGTTGGCATTTTCCCTCCATGCCACAGAATAATAAAGGGGGGAGGCTTTTAAACTTCAGAGAAAACAGCAATCCCTATCACTGACACCCCTGTACCTCCCCCACAAAGATTATGGCTTGTCAGCTGTAGATCTTTTTAAAAGCCACTGCATTGCGATCAATGAAAGCCAGTTCATATGCCCAGACTAGCTGCTTAATGGGTCAGAGTAAAAGGAAAGGTCACATGGCTACAGAAAACCTCCATACAACAAATGCCCTCTAGCAATGGTTAACTTTAATTAACTACAGTATTACAATTCACTGTAAGGTTCTTTTTTCACACATGCCCACTGTCTCTTGACAGCCTCCTTGTCAACAGAAATAAGATGGGGTGGGGCTGGAAATCAAATTGGCTTGGAAAATGGTTGGAGGGGAAAATCTGAAAATTAAACAAAGGTCTCTGGGGAATATTTTGCTATAACACCCCAGCTTACATAAATCCATCAGAAGAAGCAAAGCACTTGCTGTATTTTAGTGGCATGCTGATGGTATTTGTATAACTGTTTTTCCATGTTTTAAATCTTCAGTGCACTCCTATGCATATTTTCCTCAAAAGTAAGATACATGCATTCAGTGATGGAAAGTGTGTTTCCATCTGCAGCCTTAAATATTGCTTACTGATTATTGAAACAGATTCTAATTCTCATACATTCCTCTGTGTTGAAGCACATCTTTAAAGATCTTCTATTAAAAACAAAACAAAATTTAAGAGTCTTATTTTGCACATTTATTCCAAACTGGAAGGAATTCAGTGGGTTATGAGATTCATAAGCATCAATATCATCCCATATAAAAGATAATCATCTTAAAAATAACATAATGGCTTCCAAGGGTGAATCTCAAATAGGCACAGAAAAAAAGATAACCACAAAGCAGTTCAGCTTTGAAAATCAAGGTACACAGTAAAGCCCTGAACTGCAGCGCTTCATTTTTCACTACTGATGAGACTAAAAATAAAAACTATAGTACTAGCAGGAACCAAATACAAACCCAAAGGCCAGGAGGGTTGCTTTAAAATGCTTCTTTACATCTGCTTTTCAATGGGCCAAAAGTATAAATGCTACTGGTGTCTGGTAACCTTTGGCACAATGCACTGGGCCACCTCTTCATTCATGCTGCAAAAACACTGCAACGTCAACAACGTGAAAATTGTCTACCTTTCCTCTAATTTGCCTCACTAGAAAAGGCAAAGTTCAGGCTAGGTCTGTTTGCATTTTCCAGCCAGTTGGAGAGGCCTGTATGTTTACTCTGCCTGTAGAACTGGTCAGCCAAATAGGCATTCTGCTCCCTTGCCCAAATCTCATGAAAATGCAGAAGTCACTTTTACAAACTTAATAAAAAGAATAATTGTGTTTGCCCATTGCCAGGAGCAATGCAGTTTAATTTAGTGAAGCTAATAACCACTTTCCTTTTGCAGGGGGGTGGGGGGAAGAGAGAAGCAACAATTCACATTCTACATTGCTTATAGATATTTTATATCCAAACAAAACTTAATTTCAAGGAGTCAGTTTATATATAGCTAAAATACATGCTGCATTAATTTGACATGTCAGATCATTCCTGCAATAAGTTCAGTGCCTACTACCAGTGCCAAGATTCAGTGGGTGCCTTTTCGCCACACCACCCCCTTGAGTAGCTTAATCCTGTGTAAATTTACTTGGATAGAAGTCTTGACTACATTCTGCCTTGCTTCCAGAATACCTCGCACAAGGTGATGGTTTTAATTTCATTAGCAAATACTTAAATGCATTTTGGGGGCAGTGTACGAAAAAAACTTGAAACCGACTTTCCATACAATCCTATGGATGTCTACTCAAAAGTCCTGCAACAAGCTGCACAGATAAAATCCTCCACACATTTACTTGGGACTTATTTTGAGCAAACATGCACTGGATTGTACTGCCAGGACTTAATTCTCACAAAAAGATGTTTCTTGTGTAACAGAAAAGCTTTGCAGCACAGTAGCAGGAGGGGGAAGAAACGGCAGGAACAGTGAATAGAAAAATGCTTAGTCAGCAACTGTTTCTGCAATAGTGAAAGGTGACATGTAAGCAAGCACAAAGTCTAGATGAGTTAGACAGCATCATTACACATATTCTGTTTGTTTGTGTACAAATGGCATGGTGAGAAGGAAATGCAAATCTCTGACAGAATAGTGAGGCATTCAAGGGGGGGGGGCACAGATTTTGTCCTCTCTGTTGTCCAAGCACTGGGCAAAGAAAAACTTACTCAGGAACTATTAATATCAATTGAATTTATTACAATTTACTAAGCTCCAAGGCACATTACAGTGTTCTGTTAACTACAGAAATGTATAAAGGACAAACAGAGCATGTTTTTCATGTACAGCAATTTTGCTCTAGTGTTCAAAAGCTTCCGTGCATCAATAAAGCAAAAACAACAACAACAAAAATGAAACACATGAAGGTTAAAAATGTTCAGGTCAATAGAAACAAACTGAAACATTTTTTACAAAGTTGCAACAAAAAAGCACCCCATATCACTCCCACCATTTTGCAAAGGAATGAAAAGAAAAAAAAAACAAGAAAAAGAAAAAGTGAAGGACTAACACTGTGGGCTTGTAAAACATAAGCTGTCACCATTTTTGTAGCATTTTTAATTATTATCTTTTATATAGGCATCAACACTGGCCTTGGCAAAAAGAAAAGGGGTTTGTTTATTGGTTTTTTTAAGGATTTTTTTTCTTTTAGAGAAGTGCATACATTTACAAAAATACACACCAGCAGCAGGTAATCGCTAAGGGCTATTTAACTGTGTACCTAGCCAACACACTGCCAAAGAAATGAGAAACAGGTATTATGTGGTAACCAACCAATAATATATTCTGTTTTAACAAAACAAAACAAAAAAAAGAACAAAAAGAACAGCTCTATCCTTCAAATGAAGAAGGGTACATACCTTTGTTTCAAAATATAGAAACATACGACGAAAATAAGGTCTATACATAAGACTAAACTTTTTGCAGTACTGTCCCGTGTGTTTTGTTTCCAATATTCACAATTCTACATCTTCAGGCAGCTGAAGGGTGTTCGATTTGCTGTTTCAAGGGTCTCGCTCCTTTTTCACTTTCACGTCTCCGGCTAAAATGGTCGCGATCTCGCCCTGCATAAATGCCCAAGGCACGTTGGAACCTACAAGGGGGCATTTCTCGCCACTGGGGCAGTACACTTCGCCCGTGGCCCCCTGGGCCTTGATGCTCTCCCGGGAGCAGGGGAAGCAGAACTTGTGGCTGGGCACCGAGGGGCACTGCACGAAGTGGGTGTCCTCCAAGCGTTCGTGGCAAATGGTGCAGCAAAGCGGTCCGCTATTGGCCATGGGCGAGTCTGGAATGTTTTGGGGGTGCACTTGGTCCATGCCCGGGTGGGCGCTGGGGGGCGGGGGGGCCACCTGCAGGTTCATGTCCCCGTTGCGGGAGGCCAGGCGGCGCTGGCCGGGCACCGAGGCGGGGGACACGGGGCTGCTGCTGTTCCTCCGCGTGGACGTGGTCGAGTGCACCGAGCTGCCGTCCTTGGGCGAGTGCGCGTTGCCCAGCGTGTCGGCCACCGACATGAGCGCCGCCATGGGCGACTGGCCGTTCTGCGGGGCCGACTCGGGCGGGGTGGTCCGGTTGGAGTGCGGCCCCAGCGGCGGCGGCGGCGGCGGCACCCCGCCGAAGCCCCCCGCCGACATCGTGAGCTTGAGCGCCTCGCTCTGGCTCGCCATCCACTGCTGCCGCTGCTGCTCGTCGCTCAGCTTGAGGCTGCCCTCCGAGGCAGAGTCCGACGGCTCCGGGGAGGCCTTCCTCTTGCGCAGCCCGCCGCCGCCGCCGCCGCCGCCCCCTCCGCCGCCGCCGCCGCCGGGCCCGCGGCTTCCAGCCGCGGGCCGGATTCTTGAAATTTTTTTTTTTTTTTTTTTTTTTTTTTTTTTTTTTTTTTTT